GACAAACGATAATACACTTTATTATTGCATCTACCACGATGAATAACAACAACCTTTTCCTCGACAATTTAAATCTTTTTTTTTCTATTTCGAGGGGTCTAAGTTTTCGGGGTCTGAGGTCTGAGGTCTGAGTTTTCGGGGTCCGAGTTTTCGTGACCACCCCCCTGAAAATGAGTAAATCCCATGCTAATGTGGTAAACTTTGATGAGAATATGTCTTAGTCATCGACCTTAATGAACTTATATGAGCGAAACGAACAATTTTTAATGAACGAAACAGCTATTGAAAACAGGACAAACGTCGGCACCATTATATAATAATGTAATTTCATTTTTACAATTTAGTAACAGGTAAACCTGAGGCTAGGCGAAATATTGGTTTAAATATACGACATTGTGTAAGCCTTGCAGTAGTTTTTGACTTGTTATCGTTTTACTTTTTCAAGTTTGGCCGATTAGATCTCCTGTGAGATCTAACGTTCAATCAAGCAGGACCTTCGTTCACAGCTTTGCAGTTTATAACACTTAATTATAGTTTTAAATATTGAGTTGTCAACGTTCAACCGACATCTAGTTAAGTTTAGATTAAAGTTGTGTTCTATATACTTGTCTTGTGTATTTTAGTACATTAATCTGAACTCTGAGTTGGATGTGAAATGCACATAAACTTAGCCAAAAAAGTCCCAAATACTTGATTTTGATAAGTTTCAATGATTTTTACCCTGTCTTTTGTTTACAATTTTGCTTCTTGATTGAAAAGATAACAAAGAGAAAGAAACCCCCTGTGAGCTTGTTGGAACGCATATTTATGGTCGACAGATTTTTTGGATCAACACTGAAAATGCTTGCAGAAGATCGAGGCTACTTATTTTTATGTTATTTACCTGCAATTTATATAGAGACAAGCGGCCCCCCATTGGGAAAGAAGTGCTGTCTCAAAAGAAACCTTACCTATAGCCTTGAGTGAAATGCAATGAAAAAGGTGTGTAAGTTTGTACGACTTGAATACATGCAAATTTTCCCACCAGGCAGACAAAGAGTACCTTATGAATTTTTCGGTAGAGATGTCCTCTGTGACCCAAGAACCCTTAGCCTTTACCACTCAATGTTCAGCTGCAAGTTTGCCACCCAAGCTATTGTGAAAGTATGTGTTTGTAATATGTTTGCAACAAAAGCCAGCGAAAAAAGCCTACGCTATGTGAGATAAGTGCACCTTGCGTGGTACGTTCCCGGCTTGTTTTAACAGCCTTCAACAACACGCCAATAATTGCAAGTTCACCAACATGTTTCATCTCCAGATTACGTAAACCACGAGTTTGGCCATAGGTCTCCTCTGATTGAAGTATCTGAGCCGAGCCGTAACACACACGCTTTATATATTCAAACGAAATAATTATAGTCTAATGCAGCAAAAAACTCTAAAATTGCACAGTTTATTTATAACAGTTTTGTTTAGATTTGACCATTCGTTCTCTTGTCAAATGAATAATTTTGGTGTTTTGTTGATGTGTTTTTCTTCACAGGGCTGAACTTGAATGTGTGCACGTGACGTCATCAAATTCTCAAATCCAAAACTAAAGAGCCCCTAAAGGTTTTATCCTCATCAGGCATAAGAGGTAGTAAATTTATATCTGTTTACAACTTCCCAGCCCAATAGCGTCCTCCGTTTGGAAACCAGCGCATTTTGAATTTCGGAGTTATGGCGGTGCGTGACATGAAGCTAAGACCGCGTTTGTCGAAAAATATACACTTATCTTGTGATTTTTAGCCATTTTAGGAGTTAA